AATGCCTGTAAAAGGAAAGGGAAAATAGTAAGAAGCATTATCAAGGGAAACCCAATATAACAGATCTGTTATAGAAGTTTTCTTTCACATTTTCTTTGGCTCATTTATTCCTTTATTCCATGTGTAAGCTATTAAATACAAACACATTTAGATCTCATTAAAGTAATGACAAAAGCTAGGTAGTTACAAGTTAAGATTTGGAAGGATGAGTTATGCCTTGGTCTTTCACCTTTAGGGTTTGTCTAGACTACATGCCTCTGGAGACAGAGGCATGTAGATTATGCTATCCGGCGTAGGAAAATGAAGCGGCGATTTAAATAATGTCCGCTTCATTTAAATTTAAATGGCTGCCGCACTGTGCCAATCAGCTGTTTGTCAGCTCAGCACGCTAGTCTGAATGCTCCGCGGTCAACATGAAAGGCATTTATCGACCTCCTCGGTAAACCTCATCCCACGAGGCATACCGGGGAGGTCGACAAATGCCTTTGATATCAACCGTGGAGCGTCCAGACTAGCGCATTGAGCCAACAAACAGCTGATCGGCACAGTGCGGCAGCCATTTAAATTCAAATGAAGAGGCCATTATTTAAATCGCCACTTCATTTTCCTATGCCAGGTAGCCTAATCTACATGGCTCTGTCGACGGAGCCATGTAGTGGAGACATACCCTTAGAGTCCCGGGTTCAATCTTATCTTAGGTCACTGGTGAAGCCAAGTTTGGTGATCTCACCTTAAGTTCTCCCCTAAGTTCTAGTGAGCCTCTGTCTTTACTTCAGAAGCACACAGTTTGGGAAAAAATAGTAATTTTTGCTTGCAGAAGACCCAGGCCTGGAATGAAGAGGGTTTTGCAGATAATGCACCTAACAATGGATAGCACCCTAAGGCCCTCACTTACATGAGCAATTAAATTACAAAGCTTGAACATTGGTATAAGTTATGAGAGACATGCCACACATCACACCTGTGCTCTGCGATCAAAAGGGAACGTTCTAGCTGTTGTCAAGACATTTTTGTACATGCTGTGATTGGGACAGGCTGGCAGCTCTGGAAACCAAGGTCCTCTCTATATGCTTCCAAACAGTACTCTATTAACAAACCCCAACTTTGACATGGAAGGGAGCATACCAAGGACTAAGAAGTATTTTTATCTCCACTCACTGCTTGGTCTCCAGGCATGAACGATTAACGACAACCATGATGGAAGGCTTATTTTGTGACAATGACACCTGTTCAACATTGGGGCTAAGGCCAGAATGGACCACTGAGCATCTAGTCTGACCTCCTATATAGCCCAGGCTGTAGAGGTTCCCCAGAATAATTCCTAGAGTAAATCTTTTAGAGAAACAGCCAATCTCAATTTAAAAGTTGTCCATGATGGAGAATCCATCATGACCAACTGAAAAGAAACCACAGACTCATTTTTCATCCATCACATCTGTAAGATGGCTATGCATTCAGTCACTGCTAACCCCCATCCTACATTAAGCTTGTGATCTACAGGTAATGTGCCTCCAAAGAAATTCAATGCCCTCAAAGATTTATTTTCTGTGCACTTTGCACAAACAGAATCCACCATATCAGTCCATCTCTCAAAACCAGAGATCACATTGTTGGTTCACAGAAATTTTATCCACTTATGTCTAAAAAAAAGTGGCAAACGTTCCTTCCTTTTTAACTGTTAACAGTCATTAATTGTATTAGTCACTTTCTGTTTTTTGCAACAAAATGTGGATCATTCAACAGAGAGGCATGAATGAATTTCCAAATAGAATTTCTCAAATTTAAAGGTTCTAATCACTTAGAGTCATGGTATTAATGTGATCTTTAGTTCAAAAGTGATGTACATTCTTCAACACATGAACTCAATCATCCAATGTGTTATACATTTATTTTAGTTCAGATCTAATTTATCAAGAGGACTAGAATACAAATGAGCAATTGATCAGGTATGTAACTATCTGCTTACTCAATCATTTACATTTCAGTTCATCAATTATGTTTTAAAAAACTACTTTAAAAATGTTTGTGAAACTAATTCTAAATCCCAATCTTATTCAAAACAAAAGATAAACTTCTATTATCTTTTATTGTAGCAGGAATCGATCCATCAAACACAGAATACAAAATGCATAGATATATGAATTTTTATTAAACATATCTTGATATTTTTTCATTTGTTTTAAGAGAGACTTTTCATAAGGCACAAAAACCAAATCTAGTTTGTGTTGTGGAAACCCAAAATAAGTATCTGAACTCACAAATACCTTTCCCCCACTTTAAACATACATAATTTTAAAGTGACCAAATGCGTTTTTGGAAAATATATTCCAGCCAGACTTTATAAGGTACATTTTGAATGTGTGTGAATGTTTATGATTGATTTATAAACCCTTGAAAATCAGGGCTTGTA